ATGGGGCTGTGGCATGCCCTGTGGCCCCCTAAAAAGCTGTGGTGTGTCAGGAACATGGCTGTTAGGACGACTGGTTGACCGAGGTCTGCCAGGGGCCAGGAGAGCAGGAATTTGTGAGCAGCAGGAGGGACTAGAAGATGTTTGGGCTCATGCAGGATGCAAATTGTGTTTTTCTGTCAACACTGTCCTGATAGCTGGCATTGGCTCTCCATGGAGCAAAGTCACAAAGGGCAGATATCCCATCCCCTCTTTCCCTAGTACAGTAGAATAAGCACAAAATACAACTTCCCTCTTCTTTCCACAATCGAATTCCTGCCTGTCCAAGCAAGACACTTTATTAGACATTGATTATAGATTTTTTTGGTAAAATTCACTGCAGGTTAAAACTGGAACTTGGAGAAAGATCAAATCTTCAGCAAAGGTGGAAAGCAAAAATGCTGGTAGGACACTGTGATTCATTGTTAGGTTAGTCTCCAAGTTTCCAGCAGCCTTAGCCAGAAATCCAATGTGATGGATCATGTGCTTGTCTCAAAGAATAAGGAAAAAACTCATGCTTGTCATATGTATTTGGAGCTAAGCTGTGAGAGGTAGTTTAAATAGGTGAAACAGTTAACAGCTAATATGAATGGTATATAACAGCTGCTGCCTTAGAGAACAATTATCCTACAAACACAGAAGTCCTTTTAATATAGTTGTTTGTTGCTTTGGTGTTGAACAAAGATTAAAGGAAAACATGCAAACCTAATTAGGTAAAAGTTCTTTGCAGAGATTCAGCTGTATCACCCAGGGTGTTTCAAGAACTTCTTTCTTGCTTTCTTTATCTTTTCTTTGGCTGGGGTTAAGGAAGCCCTTTCTTCTAATCAGGAGCGTATGCTTTGGATAGAAGTTTGCAGGAGAGAGTCCCTCAGAAACCTGTATGTAGCCCACTGCTAACAGAGGTCACAGGTACAAAGGAGCAAACAGTTCTACCAGAAACAAAATTTTGTTGCAAGCTAGCTCTTCTGGCTTTGCTTCCTATGCATTAAGAGTTCACTGTCTTTGTGGGGGAATCCCCAGTGCCTATAAAACTGTATCACATAATACAATGTTAATAACAATTAAAAAAAAGGAGGAAAAGAAGAATTCACTGTCTTCCTTTAACTGCCACAGCTCACCAGCAATCCAGACACTGGTGAGCCTCTGCGTAATAGTATCAAAAACAACCAGCTGTTGACCATGAGTCCTGTGACATGGGCTGGGGTCACTGGGCAGCTTGTCCTAGCTATCTGTGGTGTCATAGTGCCAATTTCCTACTCATCGAGCTCCACTGGAGCTGGGTGATCCAAGATGTCCTCACTAACAGGTACAGCAACTCAGTGGAGTGAGCACAAACAGGAACACATGGCCACACATCTCCAAGGACCAAGTGTCCCATGCCTGGGACTTCTGCATCTCTCATCTGCTCATAGAGGCTGACCCAGGCTTCCTGACTCTTGGGTTAGCCAGGCAGCAGTAACAAAACCTGCTGGGCATCCTGGAACTTGTGCAGAGTCCCTCCTGCTATAGCTGTCATGCCATTGGAATAGCCCGGATTGCTGTGCAAGGCTATATGACACAAGGTCAAGAATTCAGGGAGGTGGGGTCCCAAGGGGACCATTTGGGAGCCATCCTCCATAGCAGGCTGCTACCAGTATCTTGGTCACAGTGACCCCTGTTGGCAGGGGTCTTGTCTGAGGGTCTGCACCTCTGAGAGAGGGAGACAGCTCCGTGTCAGGTCATTGGATAGCAGCACCAATCTCACTGCAAGTTCTGTGTACTTAACCACCTCTGCCCCAAGCCTGGATGTCTGGCTTCATGAACTCTATCTGGATTTTTTACAAAGGGTCTGTGAAGGGTGGACCTCTGCAGTGATGAGAGCGTAAATGTTTGAAGATGCTTCCTAGCAATCATGCCTTGTAGCTTGGGAGATAGTGAGTGGCTGACGCTCTGACAATAGAAACAACAGCCTCCCCAGGTGGCTCCAATATTCAAGTTGTTTTCCTGAGACAATCCAGCAGGCTAGTACATCCCAGAAGACAGCTGAATTTTCTTCTAGCTGAAGAGTGGACACCTGATAGCCCCCACTGGGCCCTGCTTATGACAGGGGTCATTCTATTTAGAAAGACCACTGCAGTACCAGTAAAGCCTCATGCTCATCATTTTTTGTAGAAGTTGGGAGGACTAGATAGCAATGGTACTTGAAAGCAGAATCAAGGCTCAACAGCATCATGGCATCTGGAGAAGTTGGGTAAACCCTTGAGAAGAGGAAGTTCAGTGAAAGTAAATGAAAGATCCCATGGTTTGGCTACAAGTACACTGCATTGCAAATACTCCTGCACATATACACACACATCCATGAAGGAAATCTGATTTAGTAGTTACATGTTAAAAAAAAAAACTGATGGGGGCTGGGAGGAACCAGCATTGTAGTGCAGCAGGTTAAGCCATTGTTCCTGATCCCATTTGGGAACAGTGGTTCCAAGTCTCAAATGCTCCGCTTCCAATTAAGTTTCCTGCTAATCAAATTTGGAAGATAGCAAGAAATGGCCCAAAATGCATGGGTCACTATCATCAAAATGGGAAACCAGAATGGAGTTCCTGAATTTGGCTTGGCCTGGACCTGGCTGTGGTGGGCATTTGTGGAGCAAAATAGTGGATAGAAGATCGCTCTCTGCATCTGTATCTTTGTATCCCTCTCTCTCTCTTTGTCACTCTTCCTTTAACGTAAGAAAAAAAAATTTAAGATTGATTTATTTATTTTTATTGGAAAGGCAGATATACAGAGAGGAGGAGAGACAGAGGGGAAGATCTTCTGTCCAATGATTCACTCCCCAAGTGACTGCAATGGCCAGTGCTGCGCCAGTCCGAAGCCAAGAGCCTGGAACTTCCTTCCAGGTCTCCCACACACAGGTGTAGTGTCCCAAGGCTTTGGCCGTCCTTGAACTGCTTTCCCAGGCCACAAGCAGGGAGCTGGGTGGGAAGTAGAGCTGCCGAGATTAGAACCAGTGCCCATATGGGATATTGGCGTGTTCAAGGCGAGGACTTTAGCCGCTAGGCCACCATGCCGGGCCTACTAAAAATGTTTTAAATAAGTTGGTGGTGACTTGAGTTAAAAGTAGACAACATTTAACTTTAGAATATCTTAATAAAAGCATCAATTCTAGATAAATGGATTGATTCATTCCTTTTGTTCTACATAGCTCAATTTATCTATTAGGTCAACTTCTGCATGCATCATTTGAAATGTTAAGAGAAAAAGTTACATAAAGGGGAGTTCAACATAACTAAAGAATTTGAAAGTGAAAGATGTGAGAAAATATCAGGAGGGGAACTAAAGATTTTTTACTTGAAGGAGTTCTCAGCAAGGACTAAAGGCTTGTCTTCTCCTCACAAGGGTTATTACATGGAAGAGGAACTTGTTCTATCTCCCATGATCTCCACATAGATCCCAATAAACTGCTAAGTGGGAGCTTAAGGGAGTCTGGCATTTAGAGGTTAAAAGAATGAACACCTTGTGGGTGAAGTGGCCAGGGAACCAGTGGACTGCACAAAAATTCCCTATTACTGCAGGACTGAGTGGCCTCTCATTAGAACAGATAGAATTTCACTCCTTGAAATGGGTGATTTGCTCAAGATGAATTTGGTAGTCCTGTGCAGCTAGCCTCCAGGGCTACCGTAGGCTCTTGTCTCCAAGACCATGAAGAACAGAATGAATATGGCTGCCATGCCCCAACATCCTGAGGGGTTAGCAGCCAATGTGGAAATCTGTTTCTGTCCCTGCAAGGCCCATGGACACAGTTAAGCAGAAGCAGGTGCTTGACTGGGCTCAGTAATTACAGGCCACAATCCAATGCCACGTGATTGAAGCTCCTGGTGGCCCACTTTCTGCAAAGATAGAGGTAGTGGGCTGTGGTCTCTGCAGATGGAACCTTCTCTGTCCTTATGGGAAGTTGAAGAAGAAGAGCCCTGAAAAGGAAGAGGCAGCTAAGCTAGAAAGGGAAAGCTGTGCTTTTCAAGTCATTAGATCCAGGACGGCACTGGACTCTATCACTCATGACTGCGTGAAGCTGGAGAAAATATTCTTCTGACCCCCAGGACTCCCTTGGCTTGTTGTGAAGACCCAGTAGACAGTGTGGGTGGGGTCACATCAGTGCCGGGCCCGGCGCGACGGCACAAGTGGTTAAGGTCCTTGCCTTGCACGCCCAGGATCCCATATGGGCACCGGTTCTATTCCTGGCAGCCCCGCTTCCCATCCAGCTCCCTGCCTGTGGCCCGGGAAAGCAGTCGAGGACAGCTCAAAGCTTTGGGACCCTGCACCCACGTGGGAGACCAGGATGAGGCTCCTGGCTTCGGATTGGCATAGCATCGGTCGTTGCGCTCACTTGGGGAGTGAATCATCAGACGGAAGATCTTCCTCTCTGTCTCTCCTCTCTGTATATCCGCCTTTCCAATAAAAATAAAATAAATCTTAAAAAAAAAAAAGAAAGAAAGACAGTGCTTTCATTGGATTCCTGTATCCTATGTTGGAGTCCCTGGTTCAAGTCCTGGCTCCTCTGCTTCTGATCCAGTTTCCTACTAATGCACACACTGGGAGACATCAGTTGATGTACAAGGGCCTCTACTATCCACCTGGGAGACCCAGACTGAGTTTTAGGATTCTGGCTTTGGCCTGATCCAGTGCTGGATGTTACTGGCTTTTGGGGAGTGAACCAGCAGTCTCCTTGTCTTATCTCACCACATTTTAAGTAAGGTATGAGGCAGGTGACCCTGCATGTGCTGTGAAGGCTCAACATTTGCTTGTTTACCCACTGTGTTTCACCAGCCACTGTGGGCAACACCGAGGAAGACCTAGGCATGGGTCTGAGACATTCAATCTGTTTTTGAGACCAACTCAGCCTAGAAGAGTAAATACTTCAGTTACCCACATTGCCTCCCAACCCTGCACTGTGCTCAGGGTGTGTTTTTCTTTTTCCCCCCAACAGAGGAGCTGAAGGAGAGGTTGATGGAGTATGTGGACAAGGTGAACAGCCAAAAGCCTGGCTTCATCAAAGTTGTACGCCACAGCAAGCAGGAAGGCCTCATCCGTGCCAGGGTCAGCGGCTGGAGGGTAGCCACCGCCCCTGTGGTGGCCCTCTTCGATGCCCATGTGGAGTTTAATGTGGGCTGGTAAGTGCCCTTTGGGAGAGGAAAGGGAGTCCAAGGCAAAGGCTGCTGAGCATACTGGGATCTCCGTCGGGCTAGTGGAAGGGAGGATAACCTGGGTAGAGATGAGATGTGCGTGTGAATGAACTAGGCTGCAGGAGTCAATGCACATGGCGCCCAAAGATTGTAGTGACATCAGGTATGATTCTGCCTGCTGCCCAGCCAATCACATGGCCCTCCAACAACCGGCAACAGCACAGCTGAGTCACACATATGAGAGTAATGTCCACCCTCACAGATAGGACCAGATGAGGTGGGTGGAGATGGCGTAATGTTGTCATAGCTACCCTGAGCTTTCCTCCAGTTGCTAGGCCAGAGGTTGCATTGAAACTCAGATTCTTCCTATTGGCAAAATGAAGGCTTGACCCATCTTTCTGCTGATGAGGATTGTACAGTTTCCAGTTGGGGCAAGAGAACTGACAAAAGCTTTAGTGTTTGCAGCTGAGCTAGGAGAGGCACCCAGCTGGCACCTTGGAGGGCTGGAGGGCCTTGAGCAGCCACTATGTATGCTCATGGGCAGAGGATGAGGTACCAGGGATGACTGTACAGTTGGTGCAAGTAGGTTTCCATTCTTTACACCATTGTGCCTGATGGCCCTGGGGTCTGCCCTCCTCACTATACTCTCTGGCAGCAGTCTCTGCCCTTCCCAGAAGTGGAGGAGGAGGAGGCTTGAGCAGGAAGGCGTAGCAGAGGCACGCATGCAGCCTTGGCTGGGTTCTGACATAACAGGCTCAGATGAAGGATGCAACACAGCCATTTTTTTATCGTTGAAGTCCCTGCTTGCCATTTGTGTCTATTTAAAAACCATTTTCATTGGATTTATGGCCAGAGTGGAAGAGGGACACTTCCTATTTCAAGCTGATTTGAATAAACAATTATGCACCAAATGTATTATTAATGAGAAGTTTATCATTCCTGTCTCCAAATGCATAACTCACCTGCTGCCTGCAGAAGCCTCCTGGTTCCTGGGAAGTCCAGACACATGCCCCTTCCTTGGGCAGTTGACCTGATGAGGTGTAAGGGGTGGCACAACTCACTTCCTTAGCTAGCCTCACCCAACTGATGGACAGAGGCATGTTCCCTTCCTGTAGTCACCTTCATTCAGTCTTTCCCCTGGACAGATTTCCTGAATTTTAGTCAAAGCAAAACCAGGGTTAAGGGTAGCTTGCTCTGGAACCTCTTGTTTATCATTCCACTTCCTTATTTTTTTTTCAAGTCTTAATATTTTTCTAGTGGAGACAGAGAGAGCAAGCAGAATGGAGTAAGAACCCCTCCGCTGAGCCCTGAGTGAGCTGAGGATTGATCAGACCTGCTGGTGACCCAGAAGTCCTCATGGGTGGAATGGGGACACGGCTCCATCCCAGGGGTATCCCTTCATCTTCCTGCAGGGGAAATCCCCTCAGGAAATGCTCCTTGGCTACTGTCCATCTGGGCAGCAGCTAGCTCATCCCTCACTCTCTCCTGCTCAGGGCTGAACCTGTGCTCACCCGCATAAAGGAGAACCGGAAACGGATCATCTCGCCATCCTTCGATAACATCAAATACGATAACTTTGAGATCGAGGAGTACCCGCTGGCCGCCCAAGGCTTTGACTGGGAGCTGTGGTGCCGCTACCTAAACCCCCCCAAGGCCTGGTGGAAGCTGGAGAACTCCACAGCTCCCATCAGGTAAAGCGTCCTTGACTGTGGCTCTCTGCTCTCAGCCCAACCCTTCTTACCCAATCTGCAGCCCTGTTGTGGGAATGGCAGGGGAGGGAGACAGAAAGGAACCATGGTGCTCTGCATTTCCTGCCCACAGCCTGTAGTGTCGCTCTTGAAAGCACCAGGTACCCAGAGTATGCTCCCAACCTCAGAGTAACTCACCCCATAAGACACCTGCCAGGTGTGCATTGCTGTGCTCCCTGTGATCCAGTGTGAATGATGACCATCGGATTCCCACCCTCAAAGCCCAGAGTCCATTGGAGACAGACAAAAAAAGGAATCTGACTGTATCATGCAGTTGGAAACTGCAGGGCAAGTGGAGAGAGCCTTTTCAGAGGGGGTGACCTGGGTGCTTGTTCGTCAGGATGAGGAGCAAGTGATAGACTGGGAAATGGGGACCCCTGTGCTACACTCAGTGATTCAGAAGAGGTTGACAGAGACAGGAAGGGGCAATGTGAGCAATGCAGCCCCACAAGGAGGCCAGGGGAACAGCAAAGTAAGCCCGGCCCCCACAGCACCTTGTCTACCTTGGTGATGGTTTTTTCCTTGGAGCTCAGACATGACTGGTTTCAATGGGCATTTGAAAGATTCCAAACTCTCCCTGCTTTTTTTTTCTGTCACTTCAGAGTCACCCTAGTGACTCCCCTGTGTAACTTGGGTCTGCAGGGGTCACTCTTACAAGCCCCCATTATCTCTGTCCCTGTTGGTGACTGGGTGGGGTAGGATTAAGTATCTGTACTCCCTGCATTGTCCTGCTTGTTAAACACTCAGACCTGAGGTCTCCCAGTGGACGAGCAGCCCCTGGAGGACAGTAGTTGTGATGAGAGTGGAAGCAGTGAATGCTGCTTTGTGTTCTGTCCAGAGAAAGATGATGAAAAGTTTAATCAGGAACTTAACATTGCTGCTTTACCTGCACAAAGGGGGATCTTTGCAATGATTGCTCCCTTCGTCCTAAAGTAACTACTTGAAGGAAACCCATAGAAATTTCTTTCAAACAAGGATCACTCAGAGAACTCTTGCTATGCTCAAGGATTCACATCTCCACGTGAGAGCTGTCAGTATTGTTTCTAAGATCCAGTGGGCTTGCTTTTCACCTTGGCCAACAGTAAGCTCAGAGCTGCACTTGTGGGTGCACCTTAAGAACTCGCTTCCCCAGTATTCTTCCATTGTTTTGATCATCTGCGTTCTGTCCTGACATTTAACATTTTTGTTTTTTGTATTTTGAAGTGTTTTATAGTTTCTTGAAGCTTTCCCTAATTCTTTGGAGAATGACGCAGGGCCAACGGAGTCCGCTTACTATCTTGGCCAGTTAATAAGTAGGAACAACTGGTTCAGACTCTATCCATGCCCTGTCATGATCCAGCAGTTGAAGAAAGGCGTCTCTCCCTGTGTCCCCAGAGCACTGGTCCTGAGGGCACCATTAAGTCCAGCATTCCTGGAATGCAAGAAGACCGAGACCCTGCGTACCGGCAACTGCTTCTAAAGCACCTGTATATGTCTTCCATGGATGCACAAGTGCATCTTTTTAAATGAACTTTTGGATGTCAGTTATGCTGCAGAGCTTTTCTAGGGCTTTTCCATTGTTATCGTGCACATGACGTTATCACTGAGTTACAGTTATGGGAACCGAACCACTGGAAGTTTAAAGACGCCAGGACACTGCCTTGGGAGACTCAACCAGCACGTGGATTTTCCACACAGCATTCAGCCCCTACCTCTGGCCTTGTCCTCTATTAGAGCAAAGACATCTCAATCTGTTTTAGGAGCACTGGGTTAACCAGGTGGCCTGCCTGAGGCCCATGGAGGGTAAAGCCACTCAGAATAAAATTTAGGGATAAGAAATACAGGGCTCTGGCCCCCAGAAGCCCAGCTCTACCTGAAAAGCCTCTTGCATCAGTAGTCCTCAGAAAAATACCTTGCAAAACTGCCCTCCCTGGAAAGCCCATTGCTTCCCCCACCCCCCCAGGAGCTCAAATTTCAAAGACTGGTTCATTTGCATGGATTTGCATGTGATGGATTCCTGCAAAGGAGTCTTTGTTGCACTTTCTTCTTGTGTCTTTTCTCACCCAGGCCTCTGCTCAGCAGTCAGGGCTAGAAATGCTAGCTGGTGTGCAGCAGGCAATTCAAAGCCATTTGCACCAGCAGTGCTTTCAGCAGCAAAGCAGCCCCAGCCACTCCCACTGATTCACCTCACCCATGGGAATCACTCTGTGAAGTCCTGCTTGGGGTGTCTGCCCTGAGCCCAGGAACCCCAGATTACACTCCACTAGACACAGAAAGGCCTCTCAGCTCCTGTACCTGTTAGCTGTTCAGCCCCAGATTCCTGATACACTCCATTAGTCCTGCCTGTTCCTCATCTTCCCCAGTGTCCCCTTCAGATTAATTTCCTCTTCTTTTTGCCACCAGCAGCTTCTCCCAAAGATGGGCGGTCCTTGACCCAGTGTCACCAAGGCCAGAAAGCCAGCCTGACATCCGGTTTCCTCACTGTCTCTCATTCTCACAGTTCATTGTTTCTGCCAAATGTATACGCACAAATATGTGCTTCAACAAGCCCTCACTCCTTCCTGACCCAGTTGTCCTCATTCCTCACCTGGATCCAGCAACAAGCTTTCCAGCTGAACAGCACAAGTCCCATCCAAATCCTCCAAGTCAATCAAGCCACAGCTGCCCTAGTATTCTTGTTAAAAAAAAAAAATCCACAGAGCTGCTTATACCACTGCCTTGCCTGTAAGCCCTCCCACAGACAGCCCCTGTGCTTTTCCATGCCACCTAAAGCCCTTGACAACCTTGCCCCAGCTGCTCTTTCCAAGCAGATCAAGGTTGATTGGCAGAATCTAACTGCAGAAGGATGAGAAAGTTGGCATGAGCAGACATGGAAATTGACAGGTTAGTGTAGAGGTCAAAGGTCAGAACAGCTAGAGATGCAGACAACCAATTTAAACAGCTAGAGATGCAGTCAACCAATTTAAACCTTCCAGCCGAGCGCCAAACCTGGGAGGAGCTATCTGCCTTCTGCCCAGATGAAATAAGCTCCCTAAAGTGGCTGGGTGAGGGTGTACCCAAGAGTCTTCCAGGAGAACGATGCCCACAATGGCAGTGAAGGCTGAGAGAATACCAGGCCCTCTGGGAGGAAAGCTGCATGGCTGTTACACCTGAGCGGCCCTACATGACAGTTCCTCTGCTCACACAGCTGGTTCATCTCCACTGCTGCAGGAGCCCAGCCCTCATTGGCTGCTTCATTGTGGACCGGCAGTACTTTCAGGAAATTGGCCTGCTGGACGAAGGCATGGAGGTCTACGGAGGCGAGAATGTCGAGCTCGGAATCAGGGTGAGTGAGAATTTTTTTTTACCATAGCAGGTAGCTCAGCTCCCATAGGGATGCATGAGTCTGGGCGTGAAGAAATGGACTTCAAGGTTGAAGATCATGCACTTAGAATGTCCAGTCCCTGATCCTGGTCTGAATGTGTGATTGGAGCCGAAGGATGGAGAAAGGGGAGTACAGGGTAGAGCTTCTTGGATCTTCTAGAAGAAGAGGAATAGAGTTGGGGATATGGGAGAGTTGAGATCCTCATCACAAAGGAATAGCTTCTTTATTAGAATCCAGCGTAGACCATTTTGATGAGCAGAGCGGTGTTCCAAGAACAGATTCAATACCGAGACGTAGCTGGGCCAGTCAGCCTTGTCATCCTTCCTACAGTTTTTCACTTGGCTACTCTATCCCACAGTGACTCACCAAACTTTCCCAAAGTCTTTGTCAAGGAGTACATGTAGCAAAACACAGCCAGGCTTACTCCATGTTGGTTTCTGACGCTACCACTATAGCACCCTTCCAGGGGCCATTGCTGCCTATCAGTACTTTCCTGAAGGAGCCTCCCACCTGCCCCCAAGTAGAGCATCCTTTGCAACTGCCATCTCATGGCACAAAGCCAAAATGGAACCATTTTATTTCTCATCCCACCAGAGAATTCCTTAGCATTTTAGGTTTTGTTCCATGGTCTATGAAAAGATAAAAGAAGTGAGTCCAGGACTCACTTCTCCTGTCAGGGAAGTCTTGGGTTCCCTCATGTTTCACAGAAACATGATCACGGATACTGGGAAGGATCTTGTCTTCCAGGAAACATCATCCTGTGTCCAAGGAATGTCCATGATATACCCAGTATCTGGGCTGTGAGGTCCCCCCAGTAATGATTCCCACTGACTTTTCCAACAGTTTTCTGTGTGGCCTAACACAGCCCCAGTCACATCATAGGCTTGCTTACCTATGGAGAGGACCTCACGCCTCTGGTACTTGTGGCAGCCCTCTGAGCTATTCCTGCCAGCCTGTTCACAGTCCCATGCAGAGCTCCCCTAACATCTGCCTATTCTACCTGTTGACCTCACTCTCACTCGCTTTGCCCTTAGCATCTGCCTCTGCTGTCTCTAGGCCCTGACCGCCAGTTGCCATCAAAGACTGCAGCTTGGATCTACATACCCCTAACCTCCTTTGACCTCCTACTGCAGTGTGTAGCAGCTGGCCTCGGGCAGCCCTTCCCCCTAATCTGGAAAGACCAGACACTTGGATTGAGCATCTCACAAAACCTCGGTGACCCAGTGAGCACCTTGTGGGCCTGATCTGCCTCCAGACTTAGTACTAGGGTTTTGAGGACTGCAAGCAGAGCAGCTTGTCTGAAGCTGAGCTTAGAAAATACTTCCAGACACCCGTATTCACTGCGACTCCAAGAAATTGCTTTGGAAGCAGCCACAAAGCACCAGCTTATCAGGTAGTTAATGTATTCATAGAGGATGGTGCCTGCATAATCACCCTCATTTCTCTGGCTCTCCCTGTACTGGTCATTTATTCACCATTTACATCCTCACCATCTCATTCCAGCACTACTACTCCTGGACAAATGCTTGCCCGCAACAGCACATCTCTCACTAGGAGCTGTGGCTGTCAGGAATTGGCTGAGCGGGCAGCACCACCTCAGGTCACTCGTGTTCTCTGGATAAAAATGTCTAGAAATGGAAAAAAGAATTAGATTTGTGAACTCTGCTGCCAACGTGTGTGCAAGTCAATCACAGTGTGTGGAGATTTCTGGCTTTTCCTTCTTTAAATTATAAAGCGATTCTGGAGCACAGGCCAGGCAGAGCCCCCCAAATGAATGTTAGAGTATCTTTGGGTAGTTCGTGTCCAGGGTTTAAAATACAGCACATAATGTGGTTTGGCTGGTTTTTTTTCCTTCCTCTCCATCTCTTTCCTCCCACTTGACAGAGATGAAGTGTCACAGGAGTTGAAGGAAATATGGCCTTTAAAGCAGGGACCCAACAACTCACCGACTGGCAGCACTGAGCCTACAAGGGAGAGACTAGTTCATTTGAATGCCAGGCACCCTTTTAAGTAATGCAGAATCGCTGATAATCTCTGAAACAGACCTTCTAATGCCCTTCACATTTCAAGAATGTTCCTATCGGAGCCTTAGTGTCATCCTCTCTAAAACAGGATGCCTGCCCTAATTGCCCAAAAGAGCTATAAGCCACCATGAGAGATGCTGGTTTTCCACATTTCATTTACCCAAAGGCAACTTATTCACAATCATTGAGTACCTGAATCATAAGAATGGAGTTGTTTGTACCATTATTGAATGCCTGCTCTGTCAGAGGTCCATGAAATGCCCAAAAAATCAGGTGTGTTATGATGCTTCCTTTTTTATGTTTAAATGAGGAAACTGTGAAATTAAGAGCATGCATATATTCTTGGACCCAGTGCCGTGGCCTAGCAGCTAAAGTCCTCAGCTTGAACGCGCCAGGATCCCATATAGTCGCCGGTTCTAATCCTGGCAGCTCCACTTCCCATCCAGATCCCTGCTTGTGACCTGGGAAAGCAGTCAAGGAAGGCCCTAAGCCTTGGGACTCTGCACCCGCATGGGAGACCTGGAAGGAAGTTCCAGGCTCCTGGCTTTGGATTGGCGCAGCACCGGCCGTTGTGGTCACTAGGGGAGTGAATCATTGGACAGAAGATCTTCCCCTCTGTCTCTCCTCCTGTCTGTATATCTGACTTTGTAATAAAAAAAAAAAATCTTTTATTTAAAAAAAGAGCATGCATGTGAGAGATTCAACCCAGGGTTGGCATGTGATATATTTGGTTAAGCTGCAGCCTGTGACAGTGACATTCATTTCACATCCTGGCTGTTCCACTTATGATCCTTGCTCCCTGCTGATGTGCCTAGAAAAGCAGGAGAAGATGGCCTGTACTTGGGCTGTGCACCCAGAAGAAGCTCCTGGCTCCTGGCTTCATCCTAACCAATGCTGACTATTGCAGCCATTTCAGAAATAAATCAGCAATGTAAGCTCTCTTTCTTTCTGTGTCTCTCCACCTATCTTTCCTTCCTCTCTATATAACTGCTTTTTCAAAATCCTTTTAAAAATGAGATTCAACCCTAGATTTCTCTGTATCAAAAGACTAGATATATCATAGTGCTCTAGGAATGAAAGTCTGTTAATACCCCCTAAAAAGATGTTATAATATCTGTGTAGTACTTCCCTCCTACTAATTCAGTCATGTCTACCAACTCCTCTCTGAAGTGTTTATTCTTGATTTTCATTCAATTCCTTTTTTCTTTATTCTTACTGGTCTGATTAATAAGTCCATAACACTACGATAAGAGGGAGGGAGCTGCTGCAGCTAGATAAAATGAAGTGAGGAAGAAACCGGAGCTGACATTGACAGAAACCAGAAAGGATGTATACTTGATGATGACTCAAGTCCTAGAACATACAAGGCCATGTTCAAGAGTTCAAGGAATGGAGACATTGCTGTAGACTGTTACGGGTTGACCTGAACCTCCCTCAGCCAATGTACATCTCCAAAACCGATGCATTGACATCGTAACATCCTGTACCTACACATATAATCCTATTTGTAAACATGGTATTTTGGTGGATATAATCAAGTTAAAATGAGGTCATATTGGATTGTGGTTGGCCGTCACCCAGTAGGACTGAGCAGGAAAAATAGACGGATACACAAGGAAGATGGCCATGTGAAGACAAAAGCAAATTCTGGAGTTCTAATGGCAAGAATCAAAGAAAATCCAGTGCTACCTGAAGCTGGAAGAGGCAAGAAAGGCTCCTTCCTTAGCAGCTTTGCGGGGGCACATGACCCTGCTGCCACCTTGACTCCTCTTCCAGGTCTCTAAAACTTTGTAAGGATGCATTCCTCTTGGCAGGTGCTTGGTCATCTCAGAGGCTGACAGTGCAAGGAGGAACCCAGGGAAAAGCTGAGGCTGTTATCTGAAGGAAGTTGGTGACTTTGAAGCCTATGGTTTCTCAGGCTCAGAGTGGCCTCACCTCCCTCCCACAAAGGCTGGTTCATTCTGTGTCAAGGATATCTTCTCTCCAGAGGAAGGACCCCATTCGACATAGACTACAAGAGATCCAAGGAATAGGAGGTCACAGTTTTTGCAACATCACACAATAGTTCCAGGATAAAAGACTCTACTGAAGGGAAATACCAGCAAATTGGATCCAAAGTCGTCAAGTATCCAGTCTATTAGAAACAGATTATAGAATGCGGAGTATGATACACTTAAAGAAATTCAAGAACAGAAGGAAAGCTTGAATAAGAAACAAGGGGCTATAAAGTGTTCACTCATATTCATATAAACATAGAATTTCAAACATGAAGAATATAAAAATGGAAATTAAAAGCTCAGCTGATAGGTGGGATAGCTAGATGAACATTATTAAAGAAAAAAAATTAGTAAACTGAAAAATAGATTTAAAGCAGTTATTCAGAATTATCCCAGAGAAGCAGAAAAAAAAGTATTTTTTAAAAAAAAAAAAGGTTGAGAGAGAGAGGTTGTAATAGGGAGTCTGATATCTTTCAATTCCAAATGTAGATGACCAAAAAAAGGTTAGACAAGAGCAGTACTTGAACAGATACTGACTTAAATTTTTTAAACCAGCAAAAGAGACCAATCCTCAGATTTTGGAAGCTCAGCCATGCAAAGCAGGAAAAGTGCAAAGCTATCCACACTTAGAGACACCAAGTGGAACTGCGGAATTCAAAGATAAAAGATAATCTTACAGCAGCCAGAGAGGAAAGAGAAGCTACCTAAAAAACATCCATGATATTTAGAATGACAAATGACTCTTGAATGGCAACAGTGCAAACAAGAACAATATGAAATACTATCTACAAGTTGTTGAGAGAAAACAATTTTCTACCTGCCTAAATATATTCCGTGATAATATCCTTTCAAATCTAGGGTAAAATGAAATCTTCCTCAGAAAAACAGAAGCTAAAAGATTTTGCCATTAGCCCATCTTTATGAAAATAAATTATTAAAC